ATCCCCCCTCCCATGCTTTTTGTCCTCTCTTAACCTTGTGGTTGTACTAGAATGGTCAGAGGAGGGAAAAGAGATAAACACACTTGGTCATTCAGCCCTATTGGACAGAAGTCCAATGTCTTAACCACGCTGTCCTCCATAAGATTCTGTATCCCCAGATAACTTGTTTTTCTGAAGTTAACACATGTCCAGAGCTCACGTAGCTTACCTTGAGCCTGACCTGTGGCTACCAGCTCCCGGCTCACAAGAGTTCCTCTCTGGCCTGTGCCTTGCTGCCCTGGAAGACTTGACTGGGGCCAGAGAATGATTTACATGAGAAAACAAAGAGCAGATAACCGCAGAGAGGATCCCTCCCGTTCACACTTGACCAATTTCAGAAAGCTTTCAGATCCACAACAGCATACAGTCACAGGGTCTATTGTTTGGTGCTGACCATGGAGTCAAAATCGGGACACTGCTCTGTCTTGACAGGGCAGCATATTTAAAATCAGGACTGTGAATCTTCACACTCATGGTGGTTTCTTATTTGGCTCTTTTGTCTGCAGGGCCAGTGGAAGCTTCTTTCGCCAGGGCAGATGGAAGTGGACTCTGGCATTTGCACCAAAGGGGAGAGAGAAGAAGGGGAGGACCCCAGGGAGACAGCTTACTTTTAAGAGATTTACTGGGCCTTGTTTTTCCCCTACTCCTCCTCCCCATAGATCCAGGTTTGGGATAAAGAAATTTGCTTCTTTGAGAACGCTTACCAGTGCTTGGCTCAGTTCAAGGATAAAAAGAGAGTCAGAAACTAATAATTCTGAATGCTTTAGTGGGGAATCCACCTAAAATCCCAAACTGAAGTCAGTTTCATTGTCTGGGCTGGAAAGTGAGATTCATTCATAAATTTATTTCTGCTGCAGCTTCCACTGTAGAAATCTCCATGAGCCTCGAATCTGGATCACACTCTGGGGTGCCTCTATAAGGGGTAAGGGGACAGAGGAAGGGCAACAACTCAGGCTGCAGTTTAGGCAATGTGTTAGGCTCATCTGTAGCCCTAGGACCTCGAAACACTTTGATGGAGCCAGATATAAATCAGGATAGGATTTGGGGTAGTCATGATGGGCTCCAAAATACCTTCTAGAAGGTCTGAGTTTCTCTGAGAGAGCACAGAATTGGATTGTTCAGCCTCTTCAACAGCCCCACTGACAAGTAGCCTGGTCTGTTGCTATTACTGACACCAGGGACCCTAAGGTCTCCACTGTACTGAACCACTGGGAGCAGTCCCAGTTGCCACGCCTTCTGCTCTGCCAAGACAAGTGGGATTTGGGTCACATGGCTTTACTGTCATATGATTGATACTGTAGAGCTTAAAGCTTCTGGGTGGTGAAAGAGACCCGTCCTCACAAAGTAAGAGCTGCCTGGGAGCAGGAGAGAGGAATTCCCAGATTCCTTGTAGCTATACATCAATGACATCTAACTGCCTGAAACTCAGACTCACCAGTGAGTCAGCAATGCCTTACCTGAACGGGGATGGAAGGCAAAACAATGGGAATATCACAGGCCCAAGCCACATTGGGGATCTCTGAATCTTAAGAGTGCTCTTTTGAGAACATAGAACTGACTCCTCCCAAGCCTTTGGAGGGGCTCACAAGATGTTCTTATTCCCCAGACCAAACAGATGAGGTGTATCTCCAGCAAAAGAAGACTTCAGGGTGGCCTATTGCCAGACCTCATCGTCTGAAGAGCCCGGAAGTTCTTCCTGATCTCTACCTTAATTCCTCCTGCTTCATCCCCTTTCGTTGACTCTTCAGTAGAGTGACTCCAGAGTTGGGACTTTGTTTTCTTCACCATAGCATCAACAGTGCTTAGATACATGGGTGATTAAAAAAATAATAATTAGGGGCGCCTGGGTGGCTCAGTCATTAAGCGGCTGCCTTCGGCTTAGGTCATGGTCCCAGGGTCCTGGGATCGCGCCCCACATCCGGCTCCCTGCTCGGTGGGGAGCCTGCTTCTCCCTCTCCCACCCCCTCCTCCTGCTTGTATTCCCTCTCTTGCTGTCTCTCTCTCTCTCTCTGTCAAATAAATAAATAAAATCTTAAAAAATAATAATAATAATTAACAACCAGTGCAGCACCAGTCAGAATAGACTCTGGTTGGGATGCTAAGCAGGGCCCAAGTGGAAGGGGCCCTGGGTTTGGGTTCTAGTCTTGGCTTTGTGCCTAATTTGCTACGTGACCTGGAGCAAATCACTTGACCTCCTTGGACCTCAGTTTTCTCATCTATGAAAAGGGGGTATTTGGACTAGAAGTTGCAAACTCATATGCCTACAGGCTCAGGTAATTAAAGTAAATGAGTGAATCCAATAGGATGGGGTTGTCCTGACTTTAACATATGGATTCCGTCTAAATGAGCAGCTGGTGTTGGATGGAACTGCTGAGCCAGGCTGTCCAGAGCATTTGACTCTTCAAGAGATGCTGAAAATCTGGATGTTTATGTGAAATCCCCTGGTGTTTAAAATACTGTGTGGGTTGGGCGCCTGGGTGGCTCAGTTGGTTAAGCGCCTGCCTTCGGCTCAGGTCATGATCCTGGAGTCCCTGGATCGAGTCCCGCATCGGGCTCCCTGCTCAGCGGGGGGTCTGCTTCTCCCTCTGACCCTCTTCCCTCTCATGCTCTCTGTCTCTCATTCTCTCTCTCTCAAATAAATAAATAAAATCTTAAAAAAAAATACTGTGTGGGTCAAACAAACATCTCTAAGCCAGTTTTACCCTCAGACTAGAGGATTGGAAGGGCCCACCCAGCTTGAATTTTCCGATTTTAAAGTATGTGTCTTCTAAAGAAAATCTTTAAGAAATCATCTTAGTTATGGGGATTTCTGCCAGTGCACAAGTGAATGCCTGCTTGTGGGCTCATGCTTGTATGACATAGGGCTTTTGGCTCCCTGTAAGATGATCCTTCCCTGGTGGTCTTCGCCCCACCCCTCACACACACCTGCAGTGGACTGTTTGCTTGGTCTCAAGAGCCAAGCCCTGAGCCAAATGGGAGACGCTGCTTGTCCAGTGAGCTCATCAGCAGTAAAGAGCTGGCTGTGTTGATGAAATAGTCCTTCCCTTCATGAAGGGAAGAGTGGCCACCAGCAGTGGCTGAACCAGAAGCTGGCTAAGTCAGGCTTGGGGACTTGCTATGTTCCCAGGCCTTTGCTGTATATGTCCCTAAGCCAAACTGGCACCGAGAATCAAGTTCACACAATTACCAATCTGGAGTTCTCCAACACACCCGTGTTAGTCTGCTGGGGCTAATGGCACTAAGTGCCACAGTCTGGGTAGCTTAAGCAACAGAACTGTCTTGTCTCACAGTTCTGCAGGCTGGAAGTCCAAAATCAAGGTGTCCGTAAGGTTGGATCCTTCTAAGGGCTCTGAGGGAAGGGTCTGTTCCAGGCCTCTCTCCTTGGCTTGTAGATGGTTGTTTTCTCCCTGTGTCTCTTTACCTCATCTTCCCTCTGTGTCTGTCTGCCTCTATGTCCAAATTTCCCTTTTTAAAATAAGGACACCAGTCATAGTTGATTAGGGCCCACCCTAATGACCTCATTTTAACTCGATCACCTCTGTCAAGACTCTGTGTCCAAATAAGGTCACATCCTGAGGTATTGGGGGCTGTAGGACTTCAACATCTGAATTGGGGGGGGGGGGACACAATTCAACCATAACACCACTCCTTCATGGTCTCTCACACATTGCTTTAAACTCCAAAACCTAAGTACCCTGCTTATGCCCCTTCCTACCTGTATCAGCTCAGTGCTTCAGGTCTCATGTACTGGTACAGAGCTCACTGTAAGCATGTACTCTATAAGGACTGGGGTTCACTGTAGTGGGAAAGGAGAGGGAACTCTCATCAAACACCTGTTAGGGGACATATTGGCCTTGAATGTCAGGTAATAACAGGAGATGTCACCTCATTCTGTGAGGCACTGTCTGTATACTTTTTATCCTTATACAAAAATTTCAAGTATTTATATATCACTCAGTAAGTGCCAAAGTACTGATCCAAATGCTTTTTATGAAGCAATTTATCGGACCCCCACAACACCGTTTTGAGGTGGGTACTATTATTTACCTCGTTGTATAGATAAGAAACTGAGGCCCAGAGAGCTTAAGAAACTTTCCCAAGTCTGTAGTAACTGATGCAGTTGGGGTTTGAATCCTAATAGCTCCAGGGCGCCTGGGTGGCTCAGTTGGTTAAGCGACTGCCTTCGGCTCAGGTCATGATCCTGGGGTCCCAGAATCGAGTCCCAGGATCGAGTCCCAGGATCGAGTCCCAGGATCGAGTCCCACATCGGGCTCCCTGCTCAGCAGGGAGTCTGCTTCTCCCTCTGACCCTCCTCCCTCTCATGCTCTCTGTCTCTCATTCTCTCTCTCGCAAATAAATAAAATCTTAAAAAAAAAAAAAATTGAATCCTAATAGCTCCAGAGGCCATACTTTTAATCATTACCGGATAGTGACTGGAAAAGGCAGCAAATGTTCTTGAATAGACGAGAAAAGTGAAACCAAGAAGCCAAGTAATTTACAGTCCCTGGGGGTGAGGGGCAGAATAAAGGCAGAATTCCTGCCCTGGAAGCCATAGGGCTCCCCCCTCCAAGGGACCAAGTGTCCTAACTCCCTTTTCCATATTCCACTCACTTAAACAGGCCCACGGGTAGCGGGGCCAGCCCAGAATCTCTAAACCCTTATTTGTGGTTAACTGTCTCCATACCGCAGGGCAACTATGGGACAAGAGGAAAGGGGAGGCACCCTCTCCACTTTAGATCTGACTTCCCACTTCCCAAGACCACCAGCCCCGAGGCATAAGGCCCAGACGCGAGTCTGGGAATTGTCTCAGCCGGGGTTAGAAGCAGGAGAGTGAGGTGGCTTGAAGGGGCTGGGCGGCGCTGGGCCGCCCAGGACCACAGAGTCTCCTATTTCTCGCAACCCGCCAATCCTGAACGCGAGAGGGCGTGGCCATACCTGGGAGGCGTGGCCGGACGGCGGAGGGGGCTGCGGCGTCCCAGGGCGAGGCGGTGACGTGAGTTCGGCGCACCTGGGTCGGGCAGGTAAGGGCCGGTGCGGGACGGGGAGCGGAGCTCGAAGACTCTACCTGCGCAAAGCCAAGTGTTGCTTACCCCACCGGTGAAGAAGAGCGGTGGCGACGGGTGATCTTAACTGGGGACGTGGTTCGGAGGGACGTCCGCTTCTGGTCGCCGGATTGAGAAAAGGTGAGGACGCTAACTTTTGAACACTAGCTTTGGAAGGGGGTGGGGCGGGGGGGATCCACCCGCCCCAGCGTTTGTGGGGTTAGGAACCTTGCTTGAGAACATCTGTTTGTTTGGGGAGACCTTCTGGGACTGGGTGCCTGTCGCCCTGCTTTAGGTAGCTTCTGGGCGGTCCTAGCCCAGGAGCACGGGGCCCCTCCCGAGCCCACACTTCTCTCTACTCCCTTTCCCTCCCTGCCCTACCGGAGTGTGCCGCTCTCGGCCCCTACCCACCCACCATAGGCTAGAGCTACGGCGCCTCCGCCCCTCTGGTCTTACCAGTGGGCCCAGTGTCCCAAAGAGGGGATTTCCCAGGCCTGCAGGCCTTTGGTCTTAGTGGGTGTTCGGGGAAATGGGGATGGGGGGCGGTCAGGAGCTTTAGCCAGTTTGTTTTTTCTCCTTGAATTTGTTTAGCAGTCAGGCCCCTACGTGGGGCCTGGGAGACACCCATGGATTTCCAAGTAGCCAAGCTTGGTGTTGGGGAGGGTGGCGCTGGGTGTGGTTGCTCTGGGGGTGAGGCCCACTTCGCCTGAAGGGGATGGAGGGTGGGTGTGGAAAAATGGGGAGAGTGTCCCAGGCCTGACTGGAAAGGAGACCCGGGGTGCCACCCTTTACAGGGAGCCTGCTTTGTAGAAAAAGGGTCATCTCTGTCCCAACCCTGCTTTCCTAGTGCATGTCAAAAGTGGAATCCAGGGAAGGGAGAGGGAGAAGGTGCTTGAGTAGGAGTTGGTGAAAGCTGGTGCTGACCTAGGAGAGTAGTTTAGGGTGTGCATAATGCATGGCAGCAGCACCCAGTACCCTGTAGCTCCCTCTCACCAGCCCCCAACTTCAATCCAGCAGGGAGGAAGGGCATAGGAATTGTGGTGAGAGGCATAGAGTTTACCCTTAAGCAGGGCTAAACTAAATGGAGGTAAGATTGGGGAACTTGCAATATGGCCTTCAGTTCGCTCCAGGGGAAGGGAAAAAGCGGGACTACCTGGCAAGTGTGTTTTACTCTGAGCCAAACCATTGGCGGCCCAATCTCGAATCTCAGCTTTGAGGTAGTGGTGCCCCTGGAAACTAGGCTGGGCAGGGGCTGCAGAGGTGGCAGTGGGGGGTGTTTATAGAGGACCTGCTCCCTGGAATGGGTGTGTGAGAGAGGATGGTTAGTGCCTTGGGGAGGTTGAAAGTATCCCGGCTCAATGCCCAGTGTGAGGGGAGTGGGTTAGCATCTTTGTTTTTTGGCTGGGTGAATACCTGTTGGACACACAGGCTTTGAATTTCATTGCGATGGCAGCTAGAGATACCAGGGTTGAGTTCAGCTAGGCTGAGGTTCTGTGGGCATTGAGATTTGAGTGATGTGAGTGTTTTGAAAGAGAACTCTGAGTTAGGTGTGTTTGGGGGTGGGTGTCATCCAGTCTCCTCCTTAACCACTTCCTTGGCCCTTCATGCTGCTGGGATCTTGTCAGTATTTTGGTTTACTCTCTTAGTGTACAAAAGGAGGGACTTGGAAGGCAGGGTATCGTGGCAGGATTCAGTACTATGGCATACTCTGACTCAGGAGTGTTGGGTCCAGGCCCCAGATGAGGCACTTTTCTGTGTCTCAGTTAACCCAGCTATAAAATGGGGATGATAATAGTACTACTTCCAGATCATGAGGATGAAATCAAACACATTAAATAAAAGTACATGTAAAAAACTGTAAAGCCTATGTAGGTATGAAGGATCGTTGGTATCATGGTCTCAGCAGCTGAAGGGCATCATCTTTTATACCTTCCAGTGGCCAAGAAAGGCCTTAGCTTTCTGTGGTTAAAAAAATACTACTTGTTGTTTTTTTTCATTTTTTAAAAAAGATTTATTTATTTATTTATTTGACAGAGAGAGAGAGACAGCACAAGCAGGGGGAGAAGCAGGCAGAGGGAGAGGTAGGCTTCCTGCTGAGCAGGGGGCCCGATTCAGGGCTCCATCCCAGGACCCTGAGATCATGACCTGAGCGAAGGCAGACGCTTAACTGACAGAGCCACCCAGGCGCCCTGGTTTTTTGTGTTGTTGTTTTTTTTTCATTTTATTATAAATTGAAACATGTCATTGTAGGAAAATGTGAATCATATACAAAAGTATATAGACAAGTATAAAATTCACCCATAATCCTATTACCAGGTAACGATTATGGATGTCTTGTTACACTGGTGTATTATTTCCTTTCCTTTTTTTAATTATATGTATGTATGTGCAAGTGCATGTTATGTTACAGGATGGAGATACTACTGTAAGTCAATATTGTATGGTGTATTTTCTCCCTTCATGTTGTAAACATTTCCCCAAATCCAATAAAAATTCTTCAGACACCCCGTTGTTAATGGTTGCTTAATAGTGCAGCCTGTGAATATGTAATTAGCCATTTGCCTCGGTTATTTTGGTTGCTTCCAACTTTTCCCTCTCTGCCGGTTTTTACAGCTCTAGTTACTGGGTGGCAGGTGGGGGGGATGTTGGCTGGCATTCAGAAGGTGGAGGGGGTTAGCGATGCAAGTGAGGCATGAAGGCGGGCGGGGGGAGGTTTGCTCATGTATAGTGCCATCTCGAGAGAATGCTGAGAACCCAGGACTCTAGATCTTAACAATCAATCTCTGAGATTGCTTCTCCTTCCCTATCACTATGTGCAGTTCTCTGTGTTGACTTGGTTGCTTTAATTTTTTCTTGATGAGCTGTCGATCAACTAGGATAAGCCCTTTTCTTCAAGGTCTGTGGTCCATCAAGAACTGGATTTCACATGTCTGACAAGCGTAGACACAGGACTTATGGGTACTGCAATAGAAATTCTCAAAAGTCCCTCACGAGGTTGACCAATGTGCTGCCCATTTCCCTATTGTCCTTCCCGTCATCCCCTTTCCAGTAGGCTGGGACTGAGGAGGAGAAGGTAGAACTTTAGAATATGCATTCTCTCCTCCTTAAAAGGTAAATGTCCTCCCCCCACCCCCCACCCCCGTTTGATGGCTTGACTTGCTGCCCTACAAAACAACCTAAACAAGGCCAAGAACATGGGGGGGGGGTACAGTTGAATATTGCATGCCACCCTCACCTGCCCACTGTGAGCTGTGCTCCCAGGGGGAAGGTTTCAGTTGCAGGACTTGTTAATTGGGTCAGAAGGCTCAGGTAAGAGCAGGTCCTGCCTTGCTCTTAAAGTGCCAGAAGCTTAGTGGGGTTTGGGTTTTCCCTGTTTGTTGGGAGTCTGGCTGGGGCAAGGAAGTGGTGTTAGGGGCCGCCCCCTCAACTAAGCTCCTGTGAGTGGGAGCCTTCAGCTGACTCAACTGGTTTGGTTTCTGAACTATGATCCAGGTGGGGACCTTCCTGGGTATGAAGGTGACTTATTTATCTTCCTTTCCTCAGGCCATTGTGGGGCTTGAGCAGTTCCAGTGGGGATTTCTTCAGAGAGGCTGATGAAAACGATGCCCTTTCTCACCCACATAGTGCTGGACTCACAGTAGCCAATGAACACATATTTGTTGAGTGAATGCGATTTTACAGGCCTCACCTTAAGTAAAAACAAAGTAAAAGGAGAACACTAAAAAAAAAATATCTAAACACAACATCCCAGGCAAACAATTCTCTAGTAGCCAGTTTTTCCTAAAGGCACCCAGTCTGGGCAGGCCTTTGTTTCCTGCTCTGAGTGCTGGCTGTTGCTGAATGTTATCTGCTCTGCCCATGTATTTTTATGAGAATCAATTGCAGACTTTACCCAGGCCAGTTCCTGCAACTAATGAGTTCACTTTAGCCTCTGTGCGGAGATAAACAGACCCAGGTGGAGGAGGCCATCTGAGCAGAGCAGAGCTTGTCTTATGATTGTTTTTAGCAGTCTAGGGTGAGGAGCCGTAGCATTTGATTATTCTTGGGTTCCTGGACTTTGCAAGAAGGGTCCTCAGAGCCTCTGTCTCCCATGTTCCCAAGTCTTCTCCCAGCTACTGGATTGTCTTATGGATAACCAACTCAAGACCCCTTTTTCTTGGTACAGAGTCTTTGGCTGGCCCAGAGCAAGGAGAGCTGACTTGAGGCCCAGCTCTTGGGATCCCCGTGGATACGCTGCCTGCTCATCTCTGTAAGTGTGGACTTGGGAACCAGGACCCACCCTTGCCGCCTTCTCTCTCACCACAATGATGCCATTTCTTTTTTTTTTTTTTTTAATATTTTATTTATTTATTCATGAGAGACAGAGAGAATGAGAGAGAGAGAGCACATGAGAGGGGGGAGGGTCAGAGGCAGAAGCAGGCTCTCCGCCGAGCAGGGAGCCCGATGCGGGACTCGATCCCGGGACTCCAGGACCATGACCTGAGCCGAAGGCAGTCGCTTAACCAACTGAGCCACCCAGGCGCCCCGATGGTGCCATTTCTTAACTAAAATATTCCCAATCACCTTTAGTTGTCTTGTCTAAAAAGAAAGTGTGCTTCACATTCTTGCCCCTGTCTTTGCTCTTTCCATACCTTTTTTTCCTCCCGTCTCCTGAGATGAGATTGAAAAGAGCAATTTCACTTCTTTTTCAAAGCCCTTGATTCTTCAGGAAGGACTGTGTTCCAGCAGGGATGATGTCATCTTTTTTTTTATTTTTCTGCTTCAGGATTTAAATAGAAGAAATGTGATCTACTTACATGATAAGTCTGATTTGGCTAGAACATGAAGTATAAATGGCTTTGGAATAAGAATCAAAAGAACCTTTTAACCTCTTTTCTTTTCTTCCCCACCTGGCACAGTTTATTCCCATATTTAGTTTCTTTGCTGTAATCTAATGAAACTGTAGCTCTATCATACGGGAACAGTGGCTGGGAAAAGTTCCCAGAGGCTGGCCTAATTCTCCTGCTCTCCCTACTCTTTACCCTCCCCCCGCAACCCCTTACAGATCATGGCCCTCCACCCCCGCAGAGTTCGGCTGAAGCCCTGGCTGGTGGCCCAGGTGGATAGTGGCCTGTACCCCGGGCTCATCTGGCTACACAGGGACTCCAAACGCTTCCAGATTCCCTGGAAACATGCTACCCGGCATAGCCCCCAACAAGAGGAGGAAAATACCATTTTCAAGGTAAAGAAAGGACTTCTTGCACCATCTGACTTAAAATGTTTTCCAGTTCTGTCAGAGCTTTCTGAGTTTTTTGGTTGTTGTTGTTTTGTTCTGTTTTCTCTTTTGGCGTGAGGAATACAGTAGATCCAAAATGCTGATGCATCAGAGAGAATGTTTATGAAGGGGGTGCCCAAACTTAGGCATAGTAATTTCTCTTGCTGGGGCACATCTATAATGTTTGAGTCTGTTTATTCTTTCCCATTGGTTGAAGGTACTCAATTCACATCCCAAAAGTCCCAGGTGCAGTTGGCTAAACTGCAAGTGATCGTATTGGTGTGGTTGTTCCAAAAGCTCCCGAGGGTCAGCAAATGACTCTTCCTCTTCATTCACTCAGGGCTCTTGCTATGAAGAGAGGTGCTTGGGCCTGGGGAATGACTCTTCAGACCAGGACAGAACTACTGAGTGTTAGCAGGCTCCTAACATAGCCTGTAGGATGGGCGTAGAGGGCCCTCTGCAAGGTGTTCTTTTGATATTAAAATATCTTGCCCTATCCATAACCTCTGCTTAAAAATTAATGGTGATTTAGTACAAGTTTTTATTATACAAGTATGTTTTCTTAAATAAAAAATAGCTCTGATGTGACAGTTGTTTTACTTAACTGAAAACAAGATTTAATCAGATGGCATTTTACAAAATTTAATGAAGCCAAAGCTTGGCTTTAAGACAGAAGTACGTGGGAAGCTGGTCATGGGGAGAGGTGTTATGTGGTTTATAACTCTGGACCCTGTGCCTCTGCTTCAGACCAACTTCTCTATGCTGGTCAGCCTTCCATCTCATGAGTTGCTTTAGTTCCTGCATCCCCAAGACACGGAGAAGTGAGTTTAGCCTTTTCTTCCCTCTATAAGCTGGAAGTCAGAAGTGAAATCCAGTCCCTACTCTGGGCCTCTCAAGATTGATGGCCCCAGGTTCTTGCTGAGATTGGATCAGAAGAAGTGGGCTCACCCCTTGAAGAGAGCCATCCTAGAGATGTTTCCCACCCAACTCAGTTATATCAGGTATAAGATACAAGAGGTAGAGGGAAAATTGGCCTGAGAGCACTTAGAAAGAAAGTAAATGAGCGCTTTTAATTTAAAAAATAATGATATGGAAATGATAGGAAAAACATCTGTAAACCAGCCCCAATTACTGAAGTTGGCATCCAGAGGGGGATGGGCCTGCCCTGGCCCAGCTGGCCTCTGGTTGTGGCCTTGGTTTGAAACTGGATTTGCTGTTGGTGGCTGGGGGTGGCTGGCCATGGCGGAAGAGGCTGGTTCCTGAAAGCCCAACACAGGAGAGTGATCTATGTGTTCAGGGCTTGAGAAAAAGGTGGCTGCAGAAAGCTTGTCTTATTTATATCTGTATCTCTGTTTGCAGAATGCTAAGGGAGGGCCTTGGAAGTCAGGAGAAGAGTGAGGGTACTTTCACAGATCCCAAGCTCTGACAGGCCTTGGGTAGGATATGTGGGGGCGGGAAGGGGGCAGGGGGGGCACTAGCATTAAATGGGTGCCCGCTCTGTATCCCCTGTCCATTATCTCATTTAATTCTCAGCAACTCTGTAAGGGAGGTATTACTCTCATGTTGTAGATGCAGAGGCCGAGTCTCCGAGGAGCTAAACAACTTGCCCAAATCAGGCAGCCAATAAGGGGTGTGGCCAGAATTTGAATCCAAGCCTATCTGCTCCCCCATTACCATATACCCCATTCTGACCAGGAATTGGAAGACCTGGGTCAAATCCTACTGCTATCAATGGCGTGTATGGTCTTGAGCAAGTCACATAATCTCTTTGGGCTTTAGCTTCCCCTTCAGTAAAATGGGGATGAAACCAGTCTTGCCTGCCTCACAGGATTGTTGTGAGAATTGAATGAAATAACGTGTGGGGAGGGACTAGTGAATTACCATTAAAATACAGAAGTTACTTCCATTTCTGGAGGAGGAGTAGGGACCTGCACAGTGACCTGAGTGTCAGAAGCAAGGCTCAGAATGGGTCTGAGTAAGTCACATTTATAAATCACAGTGATTGCCATGTGGTGGTTTCTACCCTCTGCTGCATCAGCCTTGGGCCCTCTGCACCATCTGAGTGGGCCCTGAGGAGCAACGGCTCTGTTGTGAGCAGGAAGGCTGGGGCTGTGGTTTTGGCTTAGTCTGCCTGCTCTCCATGGAGGGGCAGGGATTTAGGGAGCCAAGGAACTCTGTAGGCCTGTGCCAAAGTGAGCACAGCCCAAGCCAGCTGGGTGGGGCTAGAGTGGGAGTGGGCACAGGGAATCAGATAAACGGAGGGGAGAATGTGGTGAGGTAGCAGTCAGGTACCACCAGGCACAACTGGAGATGTGCTTCTCAGATACTGTGGACCAGTGACGTCGGAATCCCCTGGAGGGACCCAGTGAACTGTATTTTTTCAAGCACAGCCATCTCGGGCAGCACCCCTCTATCAGACCTCTGCATCCTGTACTGCAAAACAAATGCAGGTGCCCCCAAGTCTGAGGAGGTGGTAAGAAGTGAGCCTGAATTAGAAGAGAAGGATTTAAATTTGTACCGGAAGAAACTTCCTCGTGATCCGTGATCATCAGGCTCTGACGGGGGAGTGACTGAGGGAGATCAGAGATGTCAAAGGATGGGGCGGAAAATTTCCATTTCAGCTTGAGGTCAGAAGCAGAGGCAGGGAGTTGGTATTGGACACGGGCCCTGTCCGTGTGAACAAGCTGGGGTGTGCTTCCTGGTCTTGAGGACTCTGCTAATGACATCCCCCTTTTCTGCATCAGAACATAACATCCTGAAGAAAGCATAGAGATCTGAGAATATGTTAGCAGTGGGGGAGAGTGGATATCCCGTGAGCAGAAACATACATGCTTTGGGACCCAGAAACTGAAAACCAGCAAGGAGGAGCCAAAGTGGTTTTAGCTCATGCCACCAGCCCCTGGTGTTTGCAGCAAAGTATTTCCGAGTGAAGTGGGACTTTGAGGAACTAGGGAAGGGCAGGGGGTGTGGGTTTCCTCGGACATGGGGCCACCTGAATGAGGCCCTCCGCCTCCAGCTGAACTCCCAGAGTATGCTACCTTGCCCCCCTACAGGCTGTTACTCCTAGGGGCACTTGTTTTCTACAATTATTTATGCATCAGATTGAAGAATGTATGGGGAGGGAACAGCAAGGCCAAATTCTTCATATCACATGCCAGCTCCCTTTGTCTTATTACCTAAGTAATTAATGTCAAAAACAAATAAGCCAAAATAAAAAATTTACCTGAAATCCTGCTATCCGAAGTTACCATTAGCATTGTGGTGTATACGGTGGATGCTTGAACAACATGAGTTGGAACTGCACGGGTTCACTTCTTTCTTTATTTTTTTAAAGCTTATTTATTTAAGGAATCTCTACACCCAACGTGGGGCCCAAACTCACGACCTGGAGATCAAGAGCCACATGCTTTTCGGACCGAGCCAGCCAGGCACCCCTGCACCAGTCCACTTATGTGCAGATTTTTTTTTTCCCCAATAAATACTGTACTACAAATTATATTTTCTCTTCCTTCTGATTTTCTTTTTTTTTTTTTTTAAAGATTTTATTTATTTATTTGACAGAGAGAGACACAGCGAGAGAGGGAACACAAGCAGGGGAGGTGGGGGAGGGAGAAGCAGGCTTCCCGCCGAGCAGGGAGCCCGATGCGGGACTCGATCCCAGGACCCTGGGATCATGACCTGAGCCAAAGGCAGACGCTTAACGACTGAGCCACCCAGACGCCCTCCTTCTGATTTTCTTTTTTCTTTTTCTTTTTTTTTTTTGATTTTTTTTTTTTTTTTTTGCAAGAGAGAATGAGAGAGAGCACGAGAGGGAGGAGGGTCAGAGGGAGAAGCAGACTCCCTGCTGAGCAAGGAGCCTGATGCGGGACTCGATCCCGGGACTCCAGGATCATGACCTGAGCCGAAGGCAGTCGCTTAACCAACTGAGCCACCCAGGCACCCCTCCTTCTGATTTTCTTAATAGCATTTTCTTTAGCTTGCTTTATTGTAAGAATATAGTCTATAATACAAAATACATGTTAATCAACTGTTACCAGTAAGATAGGTAAGTTTGGGGGAGTCAAAAATTAAATATGTGGATGTTTGATGGTACAGGGGATCGGTATTCCTGACCCCTGTATTGTTCAAGGGTGAACTGTATTTTTTCCAGACTTTTCTTTATTTCCAACCCTTATTATAGCCACTCTTGACAGGTGGTGCTGGCACCAACAGTTGAGATAAGGCTCCTCCTTTCAAAAGATTGCGTTTGCATATGGCTTAATTTCCCTCAGGCCCTGCCTGGCCTGGTCCCCGAGGGTGGTGCTGCTTGCTGTAGGCTCTGTAAGTGGGGATCCGGATGGCAGGGCAGTCAGGCAGGGGTGTACGTGCATGTGTGTATGAGAGAGGGTGAGCACACTTGGCAGTGTTTCTGGGCAACGGCAGGCATTCACTGCGGTTTCCTGTTCCTCAGGCCTGGGCTGTGGAGACAGGGAAGTACCAGGAAGGGGTGGATGACCCTGACCCAGCTAAATGGAAGGCCCAGCTCCGTTGTGCTCTCAACAAGAGCAGGGAATTCAACCTGATGTACGATGGCACCAAGGAAGTACCCATGAACCCGGTGAAGATATATCAAGTGTGTGACATCCCGCAGCCTCAGGGATCAATCATTAACCCAGGTGAGGCCCCAGCTGCTGGCGGGACAGGTGGACAGTAAGCCAGGTTCTGGGCTGGACTTTTAAAGAGATAGCTGACTTGAATATTGCTTACAAAGTTTAGTTACGAAGCAAGAAAGCCTTTCCCTAGGAAGGACCCAGAGAACAGAAGATCTAAAGGCAGCAAAATCTTCTTGTTCATTTAGGGGAATAGTTACTGGCGTGACTGCTTGAAGCATGAGAAATCACAGGGAGTATAGACTCCTACTGTAGGAAGAGCTTCCCTTGAGACTCAACGCTGAGAGGAGAGGTCAGGTGGTTTTGAAGATGGAGGGATTAAAACTTAGGAGGTTTGAGTTCTGAACCTGGCTCTTATCACTTTGCTCCTTGTGGGACATGGAATCAAGTCATTTGACCTTTGAGCCTCAGTTTCTTCAGTGGTAAAATCTGGGCTCTCATCTTTCCTGCCTACTTTAAAGACTATTTTAAGACTCAATTGACATGACATTTAAAAGCTATTAAGTTCCCTTTGTAAATGTTGGATGAGTGATTATTTAATTTGTAGGATACTTTTCCTAAAAGAATACCACCCGATCCTCCTATTTCCCCAATGCTCAGCAAGTACCAAGAACCGGAAAATTTAGACTTGTCCTCCAATGGACCTAGTGAGGCCCAGAGAGAAGGGTCCGTCCTCACATTAAGCTTACAAAGGGGAAAAGTTGGTGTCCTTGAGTCCTTAAAAGGGATGCTGAGGTGTGGCAAGAGGTTTAAAGTGGGAATTAAGAGATTTCTAGGAAAGGGGGTAGGGTCTGCAGCTCCTGGGTAGGGGAGGGGAAGAGAGTTTACATTAGAGCTCAGTAGGAGGAGTTAGAGCCAGAGGTTCATATACCTTTGGTTCTCAGTCTTTTTGGCTAGGGCATTAGGGGTGCACACTGAACCCCGGGAGCTGGCAGTACCTAGCATGTACAGTGGATCAGCTGCAAAGATGACAGTGCAACCCCAGTGACTCACTCGAGGGCTTACGTGTCTGTTTCTTGGTTAGGATCCACTGGATCTGCTCCTTGGGATGAGAAGGATAATGATGTAGATGAAGAAGATGAGGAAGATGAGCTTGATCAGTCACAGCACCATGTTCCCATCCAGGACACCTTCCCCTTCCTGAACATCAATGGTGAGTGGGGATGGTAGGGGGTACAGAAGAATGAAGAGGATGGAACGGGCTTTGAATAACAGCTACTGGCCCCCCTCAGCCCCCGCTGTACTGGGAGCAGTGACAAGGCCCTGTGGCCAAGCTGCTGGTCTATTAGCAAGTAGGGGTCACAGACAGGGGAACTCTGCTGGCCCAGTTATCCCAGTGGGCGGCTTCCAGGCATAGAGAACATCTTCTGAATCTTACAGATAATTCTGAGAAATTAAACAAATTCATTCTCAATCCCACATACAAAGTATCATTGTTACAAATTTCACTGATTTCCTTGAGGCCAAGTGTAGATATCATTTTGACGAATTATAGGCAAACTCTTCCACTATTTCCCTTGGTATAAATTTTTTGTCACTTTCTTAGCAGGATCTACTCTGCTAAGGCTAGGTCATGGGAAGCTGGTGGTTTCTACAGCTCTTAATACTAGGCTTTGATAGAAGTTATCTGCAAGAGACTTTTTGCTTCTTTTATGGACTTTTTGAATTCAGCTTCCTAGGAAAAATGAGTTGAGAGGTTGGAAGATCACTGTGACAGAGCAGGTACTGACTCTTCCAGCGCACATTTGGAGGATGCTCAAACACAAGGTGAAGTGCTCTTCGGCATCTTCACTTGAACTGTCCACTGAAATGCTCCTAGTCTAATGCCATGCATTTAGTTGAGAAGCTCCTCACTGTGTTTTCTAGTTCCATCACACTGCTATGGGTCAAATGAGGTCCTCGTGCCACTTAGAAAATTTATCAAGGGCGCTCAGATGGTTAAGTGTCTGCCTTCGGCTCAGGTCATGATCCCAGGGTCCTGGGATCGAGTCCCGCATCGGGCTCTCTGCTCCTTGGGAGCCTGCTTCTCCCTCTGCCTCTCTCTCTCTGTCTCTCATGAATAAATAAATAAAATCTTAAAAAAAAAATTTATCAAGATGATTCCTTTGGGATTTTGGAATCCCCTACTTTAGGTGATTCCCTTACCTTTGAGAATCAGGAAACGACTCTTATTATCTGTCCACTTCCCTCCTTCACTTAACCTACCATTTATATCTTTACAACCAAGTGATGAGTAAAGAAAAATAACATTGAGCTCTTTCAGGTCAATATTGCCACATGTTACATTCTCACTTAGTGATTTGAGTTGGATATCTGGAAATATGAAATCCTTTCCCAAATCCTTGGCTGGCTCATTCTGTTGTTTTCACCCCTTAAAAGGATGCAACCTATTTCCAGGATCCTGATTTCCTATTTCTGTTCATATTTTACCAAAGCAAATATTGTGTGGCCTTATGTTAGGGGTTGCTTTGGATTCTTTTGGGGAAGATGTGGGACATCTATTTAAAAAGTAGGGGCACCTGGGTGGCTTAGTTGGTTGGATGTCTGACTGTTGATTTCCACTCAGGTCATGATCTCAGGGTCCTGGGATTGAGCCCCAAGTTGGGCTCTCTGCTCAGTGGGGAGTCTATTTGAGGATCCACTCTCTCTCTCTCCCTTTGCCCTTCCCCCATTTGTGCACTTGCTCTTTCTCAAATAAATAAATCTTTAAAAATAAAAAAAAAAGTAAAATGGGTACATAGGTTTAACCAGACTTTTGCACAAAGGGTCAAAGAAACATTAACTTCTATGATTTCAGAGCTGTTGGGGCAGAGGAAGAAGAATTGTTGAAGAATAGATGCCTAAGAGGTGAGGCTAGGAGGAGAAATCTGTAGACTTTGGAGTGAACCAACTTTGAGAATAGCAAGAAAATAGGATGGGTATTTCATTTTCTTTCTTAAAAGCTTTAATTGTATTCTTTTGAATAAATACTGGTCTTCCATGGTTTAAAATTCATAATGGTACAAAAAGATAATCAATTGAAAGTTTTTCCTTCCTTCCTGTCTCTGAGCCCCCTGTTCGGTTTCCCTGGAAGAAACTGATCCTTTCAGATTTTTGGGTATCCTTCCAGATGTTTCCTGCATGTGAAAGTATGTTTTTAATGGAATTTGTAAACACTCAAAGCTAATCAGCTAACTCAATTGAGTTCATTTTATAGAAGACAATCAACTCCTATGTAATTGCTGGGGTGAAAATCTGCAACAGGGAACCTTTCATCCATGCTCATTCTAATTTAACCCCAGAGAAAACTCACATGTCTGGTAATCTTCAGCAAACGCACGTCTTCAGAACTATGAGTTTATGGGAGAACTAATATGATTAGGAAGTAGAAGTAGGGGAACTGTGTTTCTTATTGTGTTAATTGTGGGAATCATTGAAGGGCTGCCGCACTGAGTCATAGTCCAGTGTTTGACTCTTGTCTGTTGACCTTGTTAGGTTTTAGAGCCCCAAGCCAGGTGATGTACATATATGGTGCCCCCATGCCTGCTCACCCACATCTTTCTGTTCTAGGTTCTCCCATGGCACCAGCCAGTGTGGGCAACTGCAGCCCCGAAGCAGTGTGGCCCAAAACTGAACCTCTGGAAATAGATGTACCCCAGGCACCCATACAGCCCTTCTATAGCTCTCCAGAGCTGTGGATCAGCTCTCTCCCAAGTAAGTGAGACTTGATCTTTCTAGCTGGGTCTTCAGCTCCTATTATAGTCCCTTCTCCACCCTACCTTCTGCCTCCATTTCTTTGCCATGTAGGCAGCCTCTATGTCTGGTTCCTGGCTGGCTAATGAGTCATCAGGGAAGAAGTAAAGAAACATTAGTTCATATTTATCTGCCCATGGGGATGCTCTGATCGGTTGCAGCTCGAGGTTACACACCTCTTAGGTGGGTGGAAAGCCTGGGTTAATCAGTTTGGCTAGGGGATCTGGGCATAAGGCCAGTTGAGGGATAGGAAGATTAATGGCCATGGATTTGATCAAGAAGGTTCTTGGATTTTGAGGGGCTTTTGGAAGGGAGAAAATCTTTCTGAATTGAACACAAATTGATCTCAATGAAGAATCAATGTCACCGCCCCATCTCCCTTTCACACTACACATGATGGTAGTGGGGATGGGGTGGGGGGTGGGGATGTGAGGGCTAGTATTTTGTCCAAGAGGCTAATAGCTTTTTTTTTTTTTAAAGATTTTATTTATTTGAGACAGAGAGAATGAGAGACAGAGAGCATGAGAGGGAGGAGGGTCAGAGGGAGAAGGAGACTCCCTGCCGAGCAGGGAGCCCCATGCGGGACTCGATCCCGGGACTCCAGGATCATGACCTGAGCCGAAGGCAGTGGCTCAACCAACTGAGCCACCCAGGCGCCCGAGGCTAATAGCTTTGATAAGACCTATAGGGTTTAGTTGAGGCTTGATGAGTGAAAATTTACTCTGCCATGAACTGTGTCCTTTTATGGTAAATTATTAGAACAGATCCACAGAGTGTGCTCGTGTGTATCATTTTTCAGAAAGACAAGCTTGGTATTTTTTTCTTATTCTTCTGGTTTCTTTAAAAATGAGCCAAAAATGAGACACAAACCAGGTACCTTAGTCTTTAGCTCCTTCCAATGCCTACTAATGTGAAGACTCAGTCAGTATATCTTTATTTTTTTTTAATGATTTTATTTATTTATTTGACAGAGACAGAGATAGCGAGAGCAGGAACACAAGCAGTGGGAGTGGGAGAGGGAGAGCAGGCTTCCTGCCGAGGAGGGAGCCCAATGTGGGGCTCAATCCCAGGACCCTGGGACCATGACCTGAGCCGAAGGCAGACGCTTAACGACTGAGCCACCCAGGCAACCAGAAGACTCAATATAAATGAGGAGACTGGACCCAGAAGTTTGCTTGGAGAAATTCTAGCCCTTAGGGTGTAATGATTAAACAGATAGTATACATGGACCTTGAACTGTCTGCTTTTAAGGCAGCCTTTTGAGTGAATATTCCAGGGATAGGATGATGTCTTCCTTTGTTGCAGGAAGGATAACTGTGGTAGTGACCTTCCTGAATGCTGGTTGAAAGGTGGCTTCATCTCGATGGACTTGCATGAGTCTCAGAGATAGGCAGAGCATTAGAGCAGGACTCTCACTGTCCTCTCTCACCTTGCAGTGACTGACCTGGACATCAAGTTTCAGTACCGTGGGAAGGAATATGGGCAGACCATGACCGTGAGCAACCCCCAGGGCTGCCGGCTCTTCTATGGGGACCTGGGTCCCATGCCTGACCAAGAGGAGCTCTTTGGTCCTGTCAGCCTGGAACAGGTCAAGTTCCCAGGTCCAGAGCATATCACCAATGAGAAGCAGAAGCTGTTCACCAGTAAGCTGCTAGACGTCATGGACAGAGGACTGATCCTGGAGGTCAGCGGTCATGCCATTTATGCCATCAGGCTGTGCCAATGCAAGGTGTACTGGTCTGGGCCATGTGCCCCATCACTTGTTGCCCCCAACCTGATTGAGAGACAAAAGAAGGTCAAACTGTTTTGCCTGGAAACGTTCCTTAGTGGTAAGTCTTTTTTCAGAAGGTTGGTGGTTGGGAACTTCTTCCTAGAAGTAGGTTTACCACCTTCCCTACCCCCTCTCCTGGCTCTGCAAAGATCTTAACAAAAAACTCCTGGAGGAAGTGAAGGTAGAAGAGAACCTTAGTTCTTTTTTTTTTTTTTTTTTAAGATTTTATTTATTTATTTGACGGAAAGACAGTGAGAGAGGGAACACAAACAGGAGGAGTGGGAGAGGGAGAAGCGGGCTTCCCGCCGAGCAGGGAGCCCAATGTGGGGCTTGATCCCAGGACCCTGGGATCATGACCTGAGCCGAAGGCAGACGCTTAACCGACTAAGCCACTCAGGCGCCCCGAGAACCTTAATTCTGAGAAATGAAAGTGGCCTGGGCAACAAAGAAGGGCATTCCACTCCAAAGCTATGTACTTGGAAGCTATTTTTAGGTTGGCTGTGGCTCCTTTAGTGGCAGAAGAGGGAGACAGTCTTGTCATTACGGCCAAATGCCACCAATGCCACCTTAACGTTGGAAGTTGACTTTATCATAATTAGCAAAACATATTCTTCTCATTCGGGAAATATCTGAATGGCAAATTCAAGCAGACACATTTAGGGAGAACACTGAGATGTGGATTTTACAGTATAATTTGAACCCCAGGTCCAGTTTAGTGATGTCCAATAAAACCCCCTGAAATGGTAAGTGTTCTATATTTGTGTTGTCCAAAGTAGCCCACATGGGACAGTTGAGCACATAAATGTGACTCATATGACTAAGGAACTAATTAATTTTAATTAATTTAAATGTAATAGCCACATGTGGCTAGTGACCACCATATTGGACAGCATAGAAGATGGTATTTACTGAGTGGATGTGGAATGGCCCAGTACACCAAACTTGCTCTTCCACCTTCTACAGATCTCATTGCCCACCAGAAAGGACAGATAGAGAAGCAGCCACCATTTGAGATCTACTTATGCTTTGGGGAAGAATGGCCAGATGGGAAACCCCTGGAAAGAAAACTCATCTTGGTTCAGGTGAGGATATAAGGACGTGTCAACAACTCTTTGCCTTTTCACCAGTGCTTTAGCCCTTAGGAGTAGGGTTATGCTGAGCAAAAGGTCCATCAGCCTATGTGCACTTTATTCCCATCAGATAGAATAGCAGACTCAAGCTTTGTTTATTGTAAGAACCAAGTAGGTCCTATCAAAATAGGACCAAGCTGGAGCACACAGGGTCCACAAAGTGGATGACTGGTTTAGTGAAGACCTTACCTTGCATTCTCTTGCTGACTAATATTAGAGTCTTGCTGAAACCTAACAGTATATGGTCCTTTCCAGCTCTTTAAGAAAAACCTTTTGAGTTACTTTTAAGAATGTAACCTTATTCTAGTAAGTGGCAGCAAGACCACTTGGGTTTGGTCCCTGGATTTGTAAAAAAGATAGTCAACAGATGAAATGTGGGTAAAAGTCTTACTAAAGAAGCAGCTGTTTATTTAGACATGTGATGTGATGAGACATATAGGTTCTTCACCTTCATTTGAACCAAGTTCTAGAGTGAACCTTAGCAGGATGGTCCAGAGAGAAGAAGGCATACCCTGTATCTAGACATAAGGGTTGGGGGCTTCCCCAGGGCCCCACTGGTCCCTTCTATCATCTTGAGTCCCTCCTGCTATTTAAAAATACCTTCTCTTCAGTGGATACCTGTGTGCTCTGTGTCCTGAACAGGTCATTCCAGTGGTAGCTCGGATGATCTACGAGATGTTTTCTGGTGATTTTACACGGTCCTTTGACAGTGGCAGTGTCCGCCTGCAGATATCAACTCCAGACATCAAAGATAACATCGTTGCTCAACTGAAGCAGCTGTACCGCATCCTCCAAACCCAGGAAAGCTGGCAGCCCATGCAGCCCACCCCCAGCATGCAACTACCCCCTGCCCTGCCAGCCCAGTAATCATGAATGCCATCTTTTTTACAATATTGTACATATCGGTATTTTTTATTACTCGGATTTAACCAGCTTTTAAACTTCTTCTTTCTAACAATGTTAGTGGCCTCCAATTCTCCACATATGCCTGGCTTTTAAAGTTGATTTAATTTATGGAAAAATCACCCTTCTTATTCCCCCTTTCTTTTTTAAACCTCGCAATGTTAGTGTAATGTAGTAGAGGGAGATTTGGCCTGGGACTTTGGACAGCAGCGTTCTAGCTGCAGCTTTGCTTCAGTGGTGTGACCTTGAACCACCAAGTCATTTAACCTCTAGGCTTCAGATTCATTACTGTAAAACGAAGGGGTTGGAATAATGCCTGAAATAATGCCAGTTAAAACTCTGACCTGATGACTTCATTCTACTTGTACAAGGCAGAACTGCCTGGAACAGAACCCTTCTGCATTGTTCTTGCACCACATTTTTTTCTTGCTTTCATTAAAGTTCCCTCAAGCACTGATTTGTCCAAGATTGATCTCCGTTTGACCTGTTCTGCTAGTATAGTAAGCTGGCTCCCTGACGGGGTAAGTGAGAGGGAGGGGAGCTGGCTGGTTGCTTAGGAACCAAGCTTGATATCTAAATAGAAATAGGTGCCAAAGTCTGAAAGTCACCTGGTCTGTGGAGTAAAAGCTCATAAACTGAGCTCCTCAAGGGAATCTGTCAACAGAAGGCGTAGGGATTCTGCACAGTCGGTTGTCAGGTATTTACCTTGCCACCACTCAAAATAACACTGTATATGTGGTAGATGAGAGTATGACTCAGTGGTACCTTTCAGAGAGGGTAGAGCTCTTTTTCTTTTTAATTCTTTGAGGAAGAGCTGGGAGTGAGCTGGGCATCTAGGACAAACTCCTTACTAAAAAAGCAACAGTTCCTTCTTGTTTGGAAACTTTTACAGTCTTACTATCATTTGGATTTTTTGCATTTGAAAAAATGGGGTGTTCAGGGTGAAGGAGGGTGGGGCAGTGCTCTTCTGTAAAAGGCTCATCTGGTCCAAACGTGCTTGTCTCCCTTCTTGTGGAGGGAGCTGGGTGTGGACTACTCGGGGAAGAGTGGTGTAGAACATTGTAGCTATGGCTTCCACAAACTGGTCTTATCTATTAACTTTTGCTCCGTCTCTGATCTTTTTGCCCTACCCCAACCTTAAAAAACAAAAAAAAAAGTACAATTTAAACTCCAAGACCTAAATGGAAAGCAAGATGTTAATCTCTGATTGCAGGCCCCTAATGCTCTTGAATACTGATGCCTCTCTGTGCCAGGCTGTTATAAGAAAATCCATGTCTAGTTTGCTACCCTTAAACTAGGCCATCCCCTACTTGCTACTGAAGTTGAGCTAGCCAAAAAGTCAGGTAGCTTCGAAAGCCATAAGCTCAGTTCAGTTACGGGTGGCAGTGGGACTTATTTAGAATGCTGAGACTGTGGTTTTAGGGTTTCTAAGGGACGTAATGGGATCTGCTGTTACTAAAGTATGACCAAGAGAAATCTGAGTAAATGTCAGGTGTAGCTGTGAGCAGAAGTTGGGCTTCTAGAGACCAGGAAACATACAAGGTATAAAAACTATATTTTTTGGTCATTTTGTTGAGTGGGTAATGTGAAGGATTTGGTTTTGGTGTCTGGCTAACTCTGTAACTGCACAGCTCAAAGTTAAGAAGAACCCACTGCAGGTAAATTGGGAGGACAACTGCTAGATCTGGGTAGTCCTTTTCCCTTATGCTGTGAGAGGCTAATAGCCAGGCTGTCCATTTGGACGGGGACCGAGATAATATGAGCTGGCAAAAGGTGATGAAGATTGTTCTGAAGGGCCAAGAAGGATCAAACTTGTTGTTTGTGACTGTAATGAAAAGATTACAAAGATGCCAGAGGAGTGGATGAGTGGTTTTATGTAGTCTTAACCAGAGAGCCCAGTTTCTTCCACATTTCTTTATTGTTTTCAGAATCCTGGGAGAGGAGCGCCTGGGTGGTTCAGTTGGTTAAGTGTTTTACTCTTGATTTCAGCTCAGGTCATGACCTCAGGGTCATGACATTGAGCCCCACATTGGGCTCCATGCTCAGTGCGGAGTCTGCTTGAGATTCTCTTTTTCCTTCTTCATCTGCCCACTCCCTACCCCAACTCCCCCACTCACCCGCTCTCTCTTTCAAATAATAAATACATCTTAAGAAAAAAAAAAGAGGGGCGCCTGGGTGGCTCAGTTGTTAAGCGTCTGCCTTCGGCTCAGGTCATGATCCCAGGGTGCTGGGATCAAGCCCCGCATCGGGCTCCCTGCTCTGCGGGAAGCCTGCTTCTCCCTCTCCCACTCCCCCTGCTTTGTTCCCTCTCTCACTGTGTCTCTCTCTGTCAAATAAATAAATAAAATCTTTAAAAAAAAAAAAAAGAATGCTGGGTGAATGCATGCAGGGCTGTTCACTGATCTCCCTCAGTGCTCCTTCTCTGGTCCTGATGGACAGATAGATACCAGGTGCCCTTTCTTTCTTGGGAGACTGTTACTTCCTTTGGTGGCTACACCACACACTCTCTTGGTGTGGTCTACTTTCTTGCCTCCACCTTGTTTAAGAGAGGAAGGGGAATTAGATGGTGTCGCTAGCTCTTCTTTTTGTTCTCTGTCCACCCCGCCAAACTGGATTAGCTCAAAGTTAAACAAAACAAAACACTATAGGTAAATTGGGAGGGCAAGTGTTGGATCTGGGCTTATTCCTTCCCCATATAATTAGGTCTCTGGTTACATGTATATGTTCCCCTATCATCCTATACTTCTTTTTTCAAAATAATCAATTCCCTTGTAATTGCTCAGCATCTGTGTCCTATGTGACTACAAACTTGCTGAAGGTAGGGACTGTTTGTCTTGGACTCTGTTGCCAGTGTCTGGTACATACTATGTTCTCAAATAGAACTGATCCTTGAACAACACAGGTTTGAACTGCACAGGCCCACTTGTACTCAGATTGTTTTTTGATTAGTACAGTATGATAAATGTATTTTCTTATGATTTTTTTTTTAGCATTTTTTCCTCTAGATTACTTTATTGTAAGAATACAGTATATAATGTTGCTGTAAACATATGTGTTGACTGTTTATATTATTGGAAAGGCTTCTGGCCAATAGAAGGCTATTAGTAAAGTTTTGGGGGAGTTAAAAGTTATATTCAGAGTTTCTACTGTGTGGGTCACCTCCTACCACCTGCGTTGTTCAAGGGTCAACTGTATTTGTTGTTAGAATAAATGAATGAACTAAGTAAGTCTTTCATTTTACAGATTTATTGCTAACGACCATGGGAAAATAAATACGGGGAAGGAAAAAATCCTAAAATTAGTTTCTCGTCTCTGCTTCTGACTCCCTCTGAGCTAAGAGCCAATGTTAGCCTGGGAGCTTCCACACACTGATCCTCCTTCCAGGCTGGCCCCGTCTTTACTCCATACTTGTCTATTTTCACCTTCTGAAGATACCACCAAGGTAGAGCCAGGAGTGAAACCTCCAGTATAGGAGCCCACAGTTCCCTTTGCCTCTGTCCTGCCCGCGTAGCAATCAATACATTTGGGCCACTTCCTCAGACGAGCTTTCTCAAAAAATTCCTACCCTATAGCTGGCGGTTTAGAGGTGTTAACCCTTCAGTGAAATAACACTTCCTTCTTACTGGCCTGATTGAAAAGCTTCTGCCTCTCTGCTCATTTCTCACGTGAAGTCAGAAAACTGAATTCCTCGAACCTGAGCACGACGAGGGTGGGGTTTTTGTCTATTTTGTACGTTGTAATACCGCCGGCGCCTAGAACCATGCCTGGCACACATTTATTCCGAGTGAATAATGCTCATGCCCTTCACACCCTACTTAGAGATGACAAATCTTGGACTGGAAAGCATTTGTGCACCCACCTCTAGGAATTGAGCCTCTCAAACTTAGGATTTAGGCAGGTGAAAGTAAATAGACAACTAACTTTGTAAGGCCACTCACAGGTGAGGACACTGCAAAATATGTCGCTTGTCTCGAGATATGCTTCATTTGTAGAAGAAAGCGCATTTTCCCAGACACAAAGCAAAGGGTGTTTTTGCGCTACGTGCCCTTCTCCGGCTTCCCCAACTTAGTAACACGACGGGAAGCCACGTGAGGGCAGCGGCAGCCTATTAGTTTCGCAGACCCCGCCTTCTTTCGGGCACTTCCGTCCCTCCCCGTCCCGACGCAGACCGGAAGGGCCAGCTTCTGTCTGGCCGGAAGGGGCGGGGCCGCAGGCGCCCACACTTCCGGCACCGCCTGCCCGGAGGTCCTAACGCGAGGCGCGCGAGCGGACTGGATGACGTCACGGAAAGCGGCGGGAGGGCTTGTGTTGGACATGCGCAGTAGGCCGGTTTCGCCCACCGGAAGCCCGGCGCGTTTCAAGGGATTTCCAGTGTTGTGGCGGAGCGTACAGACTTCGGCGTCTTCTCGGCAGCCCACGGGAAGCGGGAAGGCGCTTCTGAGCCCGCGAACCGACGGCGGAAGTGGAAGCAGAAAGTATGTGTGAGAGAGAGACCTCTGATTCATTGAACAAGTCACTATAATATGTTCAGCACTGGGTGTGGGGATTGGAGTGAGCCCATCTTCCGAAGGTCCGTAGATGTCGGCCAGAAGGGGAAGGCGGGGTCGGCAAAAGTAAAATACAGCCCTCCTGCAGTTATAACAGATTTTATTAATTACTTTTATGTCCCAGGGTGCAGTGGTTCTAAGTCCATATTCTAGTATATATTAATCAGATCGCTATTCTTACAGCTATTGGCGGGAAGATAAGGGGAAGTTGGCAGTGGAATGAGGGCGTTTGGAACCTAGAATTCTGTCTCAGAAGGGCAGTTTTAGGTAAAATGCCTAGAATTTTGCCGAAGATAGCCCTTCCACTACTCTTCCCCAAACTCCTTAAGGTTCGAATCCGAGAAAGTAGTTTACAACAGGTAAAATTGAGAAGAAATCAGAGAGAATGTAAACCTAGCCATAAGACCTGAAAGACACACGAATTTGGGACTAATGGAGACTAAGTCACCCATAGAAATCAGGCAGCATTGGCGATCCCATCTCTGTCTGATCTGGGTTAGCATTTCAAAGCAGAGGGAGGGACAAAAAGATCTTTGGAAGATGCTGTAAAACTTAGGGGAAGGCTGTTGGCGGGTTTCCTGGTATGTCACTGACTAGTGTTAATAATCCCCTGCTACTGCTTTGTTTTTAGGCCCTTCCTCAAGTGTCTAGAGCTCAGAGATGCGGCCCAGGGGAGGGAACTGTAGCTAGGTCAGGAGGCCGTGCTTGCTGTTGCTTCCAGATCCCATGTCAGCACCGAGTCCTCAGATGCTGGTGGCAGCGGCTCAGCAGACCCTGGGCATGGGAAAGAGACGGTGCCCACCCCGAGCCGTCTGCCTTCACCTTGCTGGAGAGGTGCTGGCTGTGGCCCGGGGACTGAAGCCAGCTCTGCTCTATGATTGCAGTTGTGCAGGGGCATCAGAGCTCCAGAGCTATCTGGAGGAACTGCGGGGCCTGGGCTTCTTGACCCAGGGACTTCACATCCTTGAGATTGGAGAAAACAGCTTGATTGTCAGTCCTGAACACGTATGTCCGCACTTGGAGCAGGTGCTGCTTGGTACCATAGCCTTTGTGGATGTTTCCGGCTCCCAGCCTCACCCTTCTATTTGCTCCTTGGACCAGCTTCAGGATTTGAAGGCCCTAGTGGCTGAGATCATCACGCATTTGCAAGGGCTACAGAGGGACCTATCCATGGCAGTCTCCTGCAGCAGACTTCGTTCCTCAAACTGGAATCTCTGTACTGTGTTTGGGATCCTCCTGGGCTATCCTGTTCCGTATACCTTTCATCTGAACCAGGGAGATGACAACTGCTTAGCCCTGACCCCACTCCGGGTGTTCACTGCCCGGATCTCATGGCTGTGTGGTCATCCCCCAGTCTTGCTCTATTCCTTTAGTGTCCCAGAGAGCTTGTTCCCAGCCCTGAGGGAGATTCTGAATACTTGGGAGAAGGACCTTAGAACTCGATGTAGGACTCAGAATGACTTTGCTGACCTGAGCGTCTCCTCTGAGATAGTCACGCTGCCAGCAGTGGCTCTCTGACTTTAACTCTTCTCTCATGTAGAAGGTACTCAGTAAATGATCAGCTCTAGCTCAGCGATGGCATCGCAAGTACCAATTCCGAGCATCTTGAGAACACTAGGGAAAAATGCTGTTACCAGTTGTCCGCATCGCAGCAGGCATGGGAGTAGTGGTGGTGGCGTTGGTCGTACGTATTTGCCATTTCTATGCTAGGGAGTCCTCTTTGCTGAGATATCTGTTGATTTTTCACTGGAGAGGAGGTAGAAGAAAAGAGATTGTGGAGAAGGGTGGTGGAGGACAAGTGTATACTCTTGTGTGGTAGCTGTAAATATACCTGCCCTCGTGGGTAGTGTCTGCCAGGAAGTAGAGGACTAGGTAGGTTTTACTGCATGTTTATATACCACCAGCTGAATTGGACTAGGGAGAGGAGACCAGGATGCCCAAATGTCTTATGTTTGTGATGTGACATGTCATTCAGGGGTACACTAAGAGTTCTGAGGAACAGAGACTATTAGGTGAAGTTTGTTTATTTTACAGTAGGTTAAAAAAATAAAGTCAGAAATCTCAGGTGGTAAAACCCACACTTTAAAGTATGTCAGCCTGCTGAGTTTCTTATTGAGTTTCTTGCTTCAGATTTTCACCCAAGCAGCTGTCACAAGTGAGTCAGATCATCAGGCTGTCCTTGTTGGCCAGGAACACTGCCAGTGCGATAGCAATCATTACCATCAGCATCGAGAGCCATCGGCCACATTGCCTCTGTGAGGAGGGGGTGGGGGAGAGAAAGAGGCCATGGGTTGTTTGGAGAAGGTACAGGGAAAAATTATCTTCCTTCTTCCCATCCTAGCCCAGTGGAAAACCTTGGGTCAAAAAAGGAGAAAAAGCTTTTTATATCACTGTCTGTCTCACTTGGTCACTTCCTTTGGGATAAAACCACTCTACTGCTGGTCACTGGCCCCTAAGCCAGGATCACTGGCTTAGGGAACCATACCCAGCAAGGGCCAAATACTTAAATACTGATAAGAATAATCAAGGATGAAAAATAACGCAGCAAAATTATATTATTCTCTATTCGTATTCCTTAGTACTTTTGCTCTCCTCACTCTTGCCACTAGCTCATAATAGGCTAAAAGAACACCACTTCGTACTTTAGCTAATAGTGAGTCTTTCCCTGTAGGCTCTAGAGTTCCATGAAAATTAGGCTTGGATGCATAAGCCAGTGTTTGCTGACACTTGCTATACTGTCAAGTTATATAAACCAAGTTGAATGGAACAGGCTGGCCAGATGTTGGCACAGGCTGATAAACTTTATCTGCAAGATTTGGCCGAAGGAGGAACCGTCCCACCATCATCCAGGGCGATACGGGAGGATTGACCCTCTTACTCTGGGAGGCGACTGTTGGCTCTGGTTCAGCTCTTCTCGACAGTGCTGCAGCTTACGTAGGCAGGACAGATACTCGTCACTGAGGTTGTCTAACTCCGAATGCAGTTCTCTGCACTGGGGGGAGAATACCACCAACGTCATCACTACCAGTTCCTTCTGGGACAGAGACCAGGTCAGGGTGAGGGCCCCGTGTGAGTTACTCCTTCATTCGTTTGGAATTTTTACCACCATCCTCCCTTCCCAGCCTTTCTCAGAGGTTTCAGTTTGCCTTTTGACTGTCTTACCTAGTTTGTCTGGAATGTGTTCATTTAAATGATTGATTATAATGCATATTATAATATTACATATTATACATGTCAGTGCTCTCACGTGATTGTGAATGTGCAAGAGCTTTGTAAATGGGGGCACCAAAAAATGAAGTTCTTCTACACAAAAGACCTGGGGGTGATCTTAGTACAAGCATCTTCACCGGGATATAGTTGAGTTGCATGTGAATACTTCTGGGGATATGTATGTTTCCGAGTCTGTAGATGGAAAGAGTTTTATTATTTAAAAGACACTATATGTATAAAGTTTTAAGATAACTGTAGGACAAAGTTTGAGGGGTTAATATGTTTATTAAATGTGTTTGAGTTTAGGTTGACTTTACAAAAGGTAACTATTTGATAAAACCTTGAATAGCAGTTAGTATAAATGAAGAAGGGAAAAGATTGACAAATTATCCCACAAGCAAAGACATTTTATAAAGGCAGATGAATACCTGCTGGCATCCAGTCACGATTTAAACTTTGAAATCTTTGCTCTCTGGCTGCCTCCCAGCAGTTTTCCCTACCATTGTGGGATGATCCCCTCACTATCTTTTTTTTTTTTTTTAAGATTTTATTTATTTGACAGAGACACAGCAAGAGAGGGAACACAAGCAGGGGGAGTGGAAGAGGGAGAAGCAGGCTCCCCGCTGAGCAGGGAGCCCGATGCAGGGCTCAATCCCAGGACCCTGGGAACATGACCTGAGCTGAAGGCAGATGCTTAACGATGAGCCACCCAGGCGCCCCGATCCCCTCACTATCTTGAGGTCACCATCTCACCTCTTTTTCCTTGGCCTGGAGCTGCAAAGTCTTCTTTTGCAGCTGGTCTCTGAAATCCCATTCTTTCTCCTTCCCTGTACCCTCAGGTTCCATTTCATTATGGGAGGGCTTTGGACTCCACACAGGCAAAGCCTGATCTAAAAAAGCAGCCAGATTCTCAGTGATGGTGAGGTCCATACCTCTGAGGGACGGCCCTATCACTGAGAGAACTCTGGAGTGAGGGGAAGGGAGGAGAGGGAACAAGGGAGGACCTGTCCCTGATGAGACTGCAGAGTAGAATTCTCTCACTTCCTCCCATTGGGACCCTGCTCAGTCTTGACACAGAGCTGGAAATCGAGCCCCTTGCAGGCAAGGTTGGCATCTTACTTTTCTTTGTATCCCTAGTCCTGTTTAATGGCATATATTTCTAGAGAATACTTACTAATTCATTTTCTTTTGTGGCATTTCTAGTAGGTTTGCTGGTTGCTTCAATATAACTAACCCCTTCTCCCTTCTGGCCTCATTTCAGTCTTGAGAATGGCCGTCCAATCCTAGAATTCATCTTCCTGTGGTTAAAGATGGCTCTGAGCCACGTGGCAGCCTTAGTCTTGGTGAAGAGAGCACTGAACTAGGAGTCAGAAATTCTGGATTGTTGTCTTAGCTGTATCCTTAATTCTTATGACTGTAGACTTTTCATTTTCTTGCCCATTCTATGTGGGTATCATAATTCCTGCCTTATCTTTTACATAGTGATTGTGATGAGAAAACAAAAGTTTTCTTTTGTTATGCACATGAAAAGAAAGTTTCTTATGCACATGGAGTGCATAAGTGAGGAACTTCCCCCTCTAACCCCCATACATGATGAATTCTTCTCAGGGAGCTGAGGCAGCAGATTCTTGAGGGCTAAGAGTGAGGTGACTGTTGCATGCAACATGGTGTGGACTTGGGGAGTTGGATGTGACTTAGAAGGTCAAAGTGTAAAAATTGACATTAAATCCTGAGTTCAAAATCAATTTATTGAAATGTTCAACACAGACATTGGTTTTCAGAGAGAGTAGAAATTCTTTTCACAGTTTATATACCTCTTAGGATAGGAGGCTAACTGGTTAAAGTGTTCTCAAAGCCAATGATCAGTCCTTAAAAAGCTCCCCTGGATCCCTGCCTTAACAGACTCCTAGAACTTTCTGGGACTCCCAAGAGGTCATGTAGTCCATCCCCTGCTTCTAGGCAGGCAAGGAAAGATCACTAGCTTAGAGTTTGTGGAAGTAAATTTGCTGACCTTTCTTTGTTAAGAGTTTCTCCTGTTCTTGAAGCTGTAAGGATTGATTCTGGAGCAGACCTGTGGGAAAACACAAGGAACTTGTCTGTACTAGTGCATCTACTGCAAACAGTGTCTTTTCAGAACTTTGCTTCAAACCTTAATTATTCAAGATGTTCCCATCTGTTATTGGTTGAATTGTGTCCCTCCCCACCAAACTCATAGGAAGTCCTAACCCCTAGTACTTCAGAATGTGACCTTATTTGGAGATAGGTTCTTTACAGAGGTAACCAAGTATTTTAGAACGTTAGAGTGGGCCCTAATCTCATATGACTGGTGTCCTTACGAGAAGGGGAAATTTCAACACAGAACTAGATAGAAGACATCTGAAGAAACATAAGGAGAAGAAAGCCATCTACAAGCCAAGGAAAGTGGCCTGGAACACCTCCTGTCTTCAAAACCCTCAGAAGGAATCAGCCCTGCCCACACCTTGACCTTGGACTTGTAGCCTCCAGAACAAAATAAATTTCTGTTTTTTAAGTCACCAGTGTGTGGTATTTTGTTAATGAATACATCGTCCTTGTATCTCTTCCTACCATGTCTTTACCTTTAAGTCTCTGCTTAACCGTTACCTTAGAAGAAAGACTCCCCCGGATGACCCTGTATGAAATAGCAACCGTTTTCCCTTTAACCTGCTTTATTTTTCTCCATGACAGTTATTACTACCTGACACATACTTAATTGTTCATAGAAGCTCCCTACTTTATTGTAGAGCTAACTTAGAATGTAAGCTTCATTAGGGAAGGAGCTGTGTCAGTTCCGTTCAGCACTGTATCCTCAGTGTGTATATCTAAAGTGCCTGGCACTTGGTACGGGAATAAATAAAAGCACCATTTTTGAAGTGACTCCTGGCCCATTCAGCTCCTGCCCTGTAGGTGCTCGTAGCCTGCTGGTGGCTGCCTTACTCTTAATATTCATTGCACGAAACTTCTTCTGTTGAGGTGTCAGAGTTTAAGGTGGTGGGCACCCGGCAGAGCTATTAATCGAATTAGGTTCTCCTAGTAGGCAATTGCCTACTTTTTAATGAAAAGTCCCTTTTCCTCTTTGGCCTCTACAGGTAGTTTTGAAGTGGACTGAAGCATATGTAGTGTGAGCTGATTTTCTGAACCATTCCTAAAGACAGAAGTCTATAGGACATACTCATGTATGTAATGAATGTCAATATATAAAATAACTGCCTTAGAAAACCCAATGTTTTTTAAAATCTGAAAACCTGGGGGAAATGGCAGTTCTGGGGGAAATTTGGGTGGTTGTCATTGGCATGGAAGGAGAGAAGTAGAAAAGAAAACAAAAACAAAAACGGGCTAATATTAACTTGTGAAGAGCTGTGTAAATGACCTCACTTTCCAAGAAGGTCTGAAAACATGCAGAGGTAGAGGATATCAAAGACCGGGCCCCAGAGCCCTCCTTTGGATGCCTTTTGTGGGGCACAAACCCGGGAACACCAAAGAGCCAGCTGTGCTACTTTTGAGAATCTGGAAGAGAACTTACTCTGCAGCTGCTGTACTTTGGCCACCAGGGCGAGTTTCTCCTCCTCTGACCTCTTCAGTTGATCTGAAAATGAAATAATGCAATCTGAAATAGACGAACCTAAGATTTAATGAACCCGACACCCGAGAAGGGGAGTTAGTAGTAGGTGCTGCTTGTCTATGGCCTCTGATATGTGCCAAGTGGAAGTTCCTCTCTCTTCTACTCGTCCCCGATCTGGAGCGGTAAACCAGATCCCAAATACCTGGGATGTCATTGGCCTCAACAACATCAGGTTGAATCAAGAGTTGTATTTGCCCGTGATTTGGTCATCATGGCTGACACAGAGGCTGTGATGGGACACATTCCCTGTGCCTTATGTTTCAACTGACCTTTCCCTTCCAGATTAGAAATGCAGCCTTGCCACGTGTGACTGAAGTGGGAGCCGTGACCTGGCTCAGAGGGACTGGCTGGAAAAGTAGGCCAATACTACCAGACCCGCTAGCGCAGCACAATGCCTCTTCAGGCTTGGATGATTAAAGCAGCCCCGCCTTTCCCTCGAGGTAAAATGAAATCACAAACCCAACCAAAGACTGAGGCCTTCTCCTCCACCCAACTTCCTTTCTCGGCTTGCACAGCCAGAGGCTTCCGAGGAGAAGAGTACCTTGAAGGTGCTGGGTATCCGAGCTGTACAGGTCTCTGTCCCCCTGCAGGTGTTCAATCTTGGCCTGCAGTTCCTGGTGCTCATTCTCCAGAAGTCGCAGAGCCTGGTTCATCTGTAGGTCTCTACTGTCTGCTCCCTGTAAGGAGGGGGGCCCGACACAGAAGCAGGTCAGTGCTGGGGCGGAGGTTGGGAACAGATCCCACGGAAGAGGAAGACTAGAATTTTAGAGATGGAGTATTAGGGAAATGGAAACACTGGGATTTTTTGTTTCTTCCTTCTGCTCTGTTCCTCACATTTAATGCGTTAGACTTTTTGATATTTCACAGGGGGCTCATTTGAGTCAGGCCCAAATTAAAGAATACCAAACCATCAGTTTTTTCGGTCTTCACATTGTCTTTACGTTTCCTTCTAACACTGTCAGTTTTTTTTCCTTTGGTAGGGTCATTTTTCTCAAAAAATTAAGGTTCAAAAGAAAAAGGCCTTCATGAGAGCATGTGGCTGTATTGTACGGGTCAGCTGGGTTCACTCCTTTGATAAGACTCACACGCGCTGGCCTATTAATTTGGCTACTCAGATTCTTGCTTCAGGAAAATGGTAGAGGTCAATTTTTTATGTGGGTCCTCAAAGTTTCAAATCAAGTAAAATCTGTGAAGAGAAAAAGCTAATATGTATGGGAGGCAGGTCTGTGCCAGGCATTGTGCTACGTGCTTTGTAATGGATTACCTCAATGCTACAACAATCCTATGATGTAGGTACTACTATTAGCCTCCTTTTGGAGATGGGGAAACTGAGGCTTAGGAGATTAGTTAACTTTGACAAGGTAACACCAGTTGGAAACGATGGAACCCTTGAGAATGCCAAGGGTCCACATTAATTGCTTAAAAATCACATTGGCAGGATGTTAGTCAATATTCAACCTCTAAGTTGTGATGCTTGTTCCATGCCAGTGGTGGGCATTTCTGAGCTGAATGCTCTGCTGGGTTGGGGTGCAGAGAGTGGGTTGGAGTATGGCAGTGGACTGATGAATATTCCAGTCCAGCCCTTTGCATGTGGATGGTGTCGTTTGGTGAACACTTAGTTCATTTGCATGAGACATCCCTGCTGAACTCACAATTAGATTTAAGGGCCCAAACAGTGAGTCAGGTACAAAGTGGGCAGTAAGTGAGGAACTGAAAGCCAGATGCTCACAGGCTGCCTTTGGAACCCCCATCCCAGCAGCAGTTTCTGTCCTCGCTGCTGTCACTGCCCCCGTCCCATAAGCCCTGCCTTCTCTCCCCATGTCGCCACCCCAGGGCTGGTACCTGCAGTTTGGACTGAAGCACATGGAGTTGGCTCTCCAGCTCTCTATGCTGGGTTCCCAGGTTCCTCCAGTCCTCCTTCAGAGCCTCGTACTGGCTCCTCCACTCTTCACACTTCTGCTCAGCCAGAACCAGGGACCGCTGAGGGGGTGGTCAGACAAGAGGAGGGTGCCTTGGGGGTTCCAGGGAGTTGTGCAGCTGGCTCCCATGCTGCCCAAAGCCACCCCGGGGTCCCAGCCCCAAGGATTATGCAGCATCCCTGTACCTGTGTGCTCTGCAGTTGCTGCTCCGTGCTCATTTTCTCCTCCAGCACTTTCTGCAGTGACTCCTTGGCCTTCTGCTCATAGCTGTTTTTCTGGTCTTCCATCTCCAATAACACCTTTTTCATTCCCCAAGGCGAGTAGTTCTGTAAATTTGATGCAATTCAACAAACACATATTGAGCTTCTGTGTGCCAATCCCTGAGCTGGGACACAGAAAGGAAAAGAATTTTCTCCTTGCCCCCAGAGCAGAGATACCAGTAATCTGGTGGGTCTTCTTCCAGGCTCAAGGTGGGCAGGGAGAGGGTCCCAGGTGATGAGGGAGGTAAGCGGGGTTAACACAATGCTCTAGGCATATTGGGCATGCCCCAGGCCTTCCAAGGGCACTTCAAATTCAACATTTCCAAAGCCAAGTCATCTTTCTCAACCTGTTCCTTTCTCCTGGGCTTCTTATCTCAGTGACCAGCATCATCACCCACTCAGTCTCCCAAGCCAGAGACCAGGGAGTCATCCTTGATTTCTCTCACTTTCTCCTACTAATCAGTTGTTCATGGAGCGTTGTCAAATCAACCTCTTTAACAACTCATATCTGTCTCTTCTCCATACTTCCTGTCATCTCCTTAGTTCAGACTCCAATAATACTATTATATGGGTCAATGCAATATTTTCTCTTATCTTCAAGACTTGAAGCTAGAGGGTACTTTCTGAAATGTAAATCTGATCATGTCACTCCCTGTTTAAATCTCTTGGTGACTATTAAGGATCAGGCCCAGATTCCTTGGCATGGCTCCTACTTATAAGCTCAGACTTTGATTCTATGCTACTTCCACCCAAGCTGAACTGTTTGCAGATCCCCTAAGCACTGTGCATTTTGGCATTTGCCTTTGTCCATATAGCTTCTGCCTAGAGCATCATCACCTACCCTTTTCACCTGGTTAACTTCTACTCATGCTCAAGGTTCAGTCCAAGGATCATATAAATTCTGATAAATCTTGACCAGTCACCCCTATCCCCCAACTCATTATGCATTAGGTAGCTTCTCTTAGTGTTCACATAGCATCCTCTGTAAGTCTCTATCTTCCCACTCTATTGACCCATCTGTGTCCCTTATGGGATTGTAAACTTCAGGGTAGAGAGCATGCTTTTTTTTTTTTTTTTTTTTTTTTAATCTTTGTAGCTTCAGAGATCTAAGCAATCTCCAGTACTCTCAATGTTTTTAAATTCATATATTTGCATTAAAGAAATTGTCTTGGCTTCAGGAATTAAGAAAAGAACAGCTTTGCAAATTCACTTAGGGTCTTCCCTTCCCTATCCCTTTCATCTTTTTACCCTTTGATTCTGGAGAAGGCAGGCAACTTTTACTGTCAACTCTGGGTTATCCCACTGAATAAACAGTAGTCCAGATAATGCACATCTAAGGATCAATATGAAATCATTTCCATTTCGATTTGGAATCATCTAAAAATTTGGATTTAAGTGTGAGTGGGTCTTATGTTCTTGGAATTTTTTTTTTTTTTAAAGATTTTATTTATTTATTTGAGAGAGAGAACGAGAGAGAGAGAGCACATGAGAGGGGGGAGGGTCAGAGGGAGAAGCAGACTCCCCGCCGAACAGGGAGCCCAATGCGGGACTCGATCCCGGGACTCCAGGATCATGACCTGAGCCGAAGGCAGTCGCTTAACCAACTGAGCCACCCAGGCGCCCGTTCTTGGAATTTTCATTAGAAGCCAGATCCAGGAGCTACTGGCTGAGGTCATACATGGGTATATCCCAGTTAGTGGACTTACTCATGCTGG